TTGTCAGTCGGCGGAGGAGGCAGATCTAGCAGCCAGGGGGTGCTGCCACCCCGTGCCAAGGCAAAGCGGGGGTGGCTGGTCGTGGGAGAGCGGGGGTGCGGAGACCCACCACCTGGCCGGGAATCTATCATCCTCGGTTTGACTCTTTCCCATTCCCAATTGCTCCCCAGCCCCTGCGTTGAGCAGACAGAGAGAGGGAAGCAGACCAAAGAGGGATCAGGGCTGCGGAAAAATCAGGATGACATCGCCTCGGCAGCAGCGTCGGTCGGTGGAGGTGGCACGGATGAGAAAAGAGGTCACCCTCTCTTGCGGGAGAAGGATCTGAGGCAGCCCTCTGGCTAGAAACACCGGGGGGAGGCAGCGTTGGAGCATCTCTTTCTCTCCCTCCCGGCCAGTGGAGACCCTGCTTTGGAACCACCTTCCGGCCTACAAGGACTCTGCCACAGCCGGCTAGGGATGGCCTTGGTCCTTTTCCTGGCCTGAAGCCACAGGACGGGGACCCGGGCAAAGGCTCCCCCCCAGGCCCCACCGGCGCCTCTCGGAACAGACCCTTAATTCTGCCATTTGTGGCCCAGCGGGGCTGAGCCGTAGCCAGAAGAGGGGAGAACAGTTGGACCATCGGAAAGCAAGGGGGGAGCGCAGCCTCGCGACAGGATTCCTCGGAGACCGTGGATGGCAAGAACGAAGCGCTTCCTTCCGCCTGGATGCCCCCGATGTGAGAAATCGAAGCATTGACTTTGTAGGTTTCCCCAAATCTTTGGAAGACAAGGGACTTGGGTTGAGGGTGATACCCCAGTCTCGTGGGCTCTTCTGTCGGGAGAAGCCGTGTCACTTTGACACATCACATTCTTGTTGACTCTGTGGTGGGTGACTCCTTCCCAGTCCACCCCCGAAGAGAGCCGTGCCTCGAAAATAGTTACGTGGGCTTTGTTGCATTGTCTTTGCAGACGCTGCGACAGCCCTGGAAAAAGCTGGATTTCTCCTCTTTGTTTTCTCCTCCTCCTCCTGTTCCTTGTGCAAGACCACTGATCGAGAGAGCATCTGTGCTTCGTCTTCCTCACACCCCAAAGCTCTAGACTGTGGCTCATGATGAAGGGGAGAGGTGCCCTTCTCAAGGGCCATGAAATGTTGGGGATGCTCTGAGACAGATGGGGAGGACGCCCTCCCAGTGATCCGGCCAGCCTGCCCGCCTGCTGCTCCATGCCTGGTCTGCAGGAGCCGGCATCATGGCACGGCCTGGCACAGGGACCCTGGTCTTGGCCAACGGACTGGGCTTCCCTCCCAGTAACGTGGCCCGGGTGGTGGTGTGGGAGTGGCTGAACGAGCACGGGCGCTGGAGGCCCTACACGGCGGCGGTGTGCCACCACATCGAGAATGTCCTGAAGGAGGATGCCCGGGGGAGCGTGGTCTTGGGGCAGGTGGATGCCCAGCTCTCCCCCTACATCATCGATCTGCAGTCCATGCACCAGTTCCGCCAGGACACAGGTAGGGCGGAGGTCTGGCTGGCCTCAAGTCCGTCCTTGAGTCTCAGGTTTCATAAAATGAACATACCGCTTTTCCTTCAACTGTTCCGGTTTTTTGCAGGCAAATGGGCACACCTTGCGGCTTTGAATATAACCACCTCCTCTTACCTTGCAGAGGGAAAAACAGCACATCAGGGCTACATGGAACCCTATTCCCTGCTGTGCTGGATTTCTGCAAGCGAAGAGGTTCTGCTCCCACGGGGAAGCTTTTAAACAAGTCAACTAACCCCAGCCTGAGTCCCTACAGATGTTTTGGCTGACATTTTCCATCAGCCTCATCGCTATCCGAAGCAGGCGAGGCTATCTTCCAGCAGAAGTGCGAAGCTATACGGCCGGTGGAAAGCTTTGATCGTGGGATTTTGGCCTTTGTATAAACTGAGCCAGAGATCTGAATGTGGGAAGCACAGATTGTGAAAAAAAGAATCTGTATGGACCATTGTTCTCCGGCTTTGGCTTTCTAAATGCTTTAGACTTCAACACCCATTGTGATTCCCCCATTCGGATGTCTGGTTCATTTTAACACAACCCCTGGAACTGCCTGATCAAAACTTTCCACAGGGCTGGTGTCATTACGTGATGTCAAGTCACTTCTGACTCACGGTGACCCCATGAATTACTGACCTCCAAAGGCTGCTATCTTTAACATTCCGACTCAGATCTTACAAACTCAAGGCTGTATAGAGTCCTTTACAGATTCGATCCCTCTCATCTTCAGTCTTCCTTTTCCCCCCAGCGTTATCATCTTTCCTAGTGAGTCTTCTGCCCAGAGTATGATAGCTTTGGCTTAGTCATTTTTGCTTCTAGAGAGACTTCAGGCTTGTTTTGATCTGCGGCTCCGTTATTTGTCTTTCTGGTGGATCAAGGTATCCACAAAGCTTTCCTCCGGCACTACATTTAAGTGAGTCATTTTTTTTTACCCCTGTCTGGCTTTCTTTGCTGTCCAGTTTTCACATCTGTGCATTGTAATTGGGGACACTGTAGCTCCACTGGGTGTACCACTGAAATCCTGGCCTCTTGGCCCCAATGACTAAGGCGTTCTGGGTGCTGGAGTCCACAATGTTTAGTGAGCTGAAGGTTAGGAACCAAGGAGCTAGAAGATCTGAGATGATGCTTTCTTTTTTTTAATTGCAATATTTTGCCATGGAAACGCAGAGTGTTTAATTCGATGTAGGTCTGGGTGGTGATGATGATGATGACAGCACAAACCTTGAACTTGAGCGACGGAAGTTGGGAATTTGTTAAAAGAACCAGAAAACAAAGGTGTTTCGGGGATGCGTCAGGCACAATCCGGAATGATTACTTTTCTGTAACTGCCAGAATCCCCCACCCAGCAAACTTCCTCTCTAGCAGGTTGGCTTTCGAATCATCCGCCCTGAGTCTTAACCTTGTGCTGAATGTGGAAACTGGGAATCTTCACCTGCTTCTCTCTTCCCTTTTGGAATGACAGTGAAAGGGAATGAAAATCAATTTTCCTTTTTTGGAAAGCACGGAGCCTCATGGAGCTATGAAATCTAGCAGATTTATGGCCACAGAAACTGGAAGACTAGACAATTCTCTTTGGGTACGACTGCTCTTGCAGCAGGGTTAGGTGGGTAGCTAGCTTGGGATATTTGGCAATGGTTGGGCTTGATTAGAACAATCTAATTAAGCCTGACCATTCACACGGAAGTGGCTCTTGCCAATATCGTCAAGTAGCTTAATAAGCAAGCCACTTCAGGAGGCTGGCAAATTAATCACTTCCCCTGCTCAGGAAGTGGGACACGGGAAGTGAAAAACAATATTTTTACTGCACATGGAGTGTTGCTGATCTGCTGCACGAGCTATTTAAAAATATTGTTTTTTCTTTGCCTTCTTTTTAAGGGTTAGATGAGAAACCGCTTGCACTGTGGATTCAACTGCAGGCGGTTTCTTCACAGGCCCTTTAAGGTGAGGCAAAGAAAATGTTTTTAAAATAAATTTTACAGATGGTGTAGCACATCAAGCAATAGTATACATACAATCAAAAATATCTTTTCCCCCCCACTTCCCCTGTCTTCTGCAGAGCAAGGGGAAATGATTAATTAGCCAGTCCCCCCAAAGTGGCTCGCTTATTAAGCCACTTCACGATATTGGCAAATTGAAAGAGGAAGGCTTGCTTTGGATCGGCTCCAGCGATCATAGGCGCTGGAACTGATCCCGGCCAGAGGGATCTGACCCACAACAGAAGAGTAGAAGCCAGAAAGGTGTGGGTCGGATGGTTGGTGCACTGTAATAACCTGTCCCTGCAGTGCTTCAAACGGGGGGCTCAACGATCTGTGTAGTTAGCCTCAGAGGGAAGAAGTCTTGCCATTAATTGACTTCATGGAAACCCACTGGCAGGGACATTAAAATCATGGAGTGGGCATGGTAGGAACACATTCTGCCCTGATCAAACTGGAAGTCTTTAACATATGAGAGGGTCTTGTTGTTGTTCTGCTGGCACAGTCTAACACCCCACCTCCTTGGGGAGTAGAAAAAGCAAACAAATATTTTGCAAGCAGGGTTCTAGGTCAGGAAATAAACCACTGCATTGAATTGGCCCTTGGACCACCGTCCGGACTGCAACTCAGATTTGTGTCTGTCCCATTTCTGCCTTGTTAAGGCAATAAATTCATGCAAATCTAGGCTGCGCGGGGCTAGCTGAAGACCCAGTTTTCTTTCCATGGGCAAAGATCAGATATAGCAATACAGCTGGGACAGCCTTCTGCTTGGCACTGAAGACACGTATTGGAGTCTCCGTTTCAGATAGTTGGGAAGCGCAAAGAGACCCTTTCAGGCAGAGTGATGAGTTTCGAGGCATGTCATGGAACATACAGTGGAGGAGAGATTCCACTTGGATGATCAGGTCCCACATTTGAATTCCTACTAAACCACGATGCTTGTGGTTTGTCTTCTAACTGGAATTTGGGGGAAAAGTGTTGTTGTTGTTTTTATTTTTATTATTATTGCAATATTCAGAGCACTCTAGAGAGTGTGGCCAAGTCTGGAATATTCTGGAGGCTTCATTCTGAAACAAACAAACAAACAAAAAAGCGGGGGGGGGGAGATCAATGTCTCCCGTCTACAGTATGTCTGTCTGCCATTTTTACTTGCATCACAAGATTATTGTGAGGACAAAAATCCATGAAGGATCAGGGACGGGGATCTGATGTATGACGTGTGGGAGAAAAGATGGAATGGAAGGGCCACAAAGGGGCTCTTTCTGAGCTTCTTCACCACTCCCTTCGGTGTTCAGTTGGGCTGGAGGAACTCAGAATTTCCATTTTGCTTTTGCACTCCCAGGTGTAAGGCTGTGCGGGGACACAGGTGTGTCGCCTGCCTAACCCTTCTCTCCCTTCCCTTAGATACAGTTTTATTCTCAAAGGAACTGAAAAGGAATGAAAGAAGAAGCTCCTCTTGGTGGCTGCCATGGGGCTGCTCTCCTTATGACCTTCTAGAAGAGCATCGGCTGCAGGCTCTTTGGACCTTTGGCCGTAATCCTGCCCTCCCTGTTTGTGTAATGCAAAAATGATCCGTGAGGGGAATGGCTTGGAGTCTGAGGGTGCAGTGGAGTGACTGGGACTAAGGAGGTTTCAAAATGGTTAATGGCTGGTGAGGAGACTGGCCAGGAAATGTGTTGGGGAATGTGAGGGTGGAAGAGAGAGGGTCTTCTGGATGTCACGGTGAATTTGGGAGCGGTGGGTGCTTGTTGGGACTGTCCCCATAGCTGCCCTGGCCTATACAAAGAGTGCAAACCTACAGGCTGTGGGAGTAGTGCCTATCTACAACCGAGGAGCAAACAAGGAAGCCAGATTTCGGTTGAATATCAGGAAAAACTTCCTAAGTGTTAGAGCAGTATGGCAATGGAATCAGTTACCTCGAGAGGTGGTGAGTGCGCCAACCCTGGAGGCATTCAAGAGAAATTTAGACAACCACCTGGCAGATAGCCTTTGATTTATATTCCTGCCTTAAGCAGGGGGTTGGACTTGATGAACTTATAAAGGTAAAGGTTCCCCTTGACAAGTTTTGTCCAGTCATGTCCGACTCTAGAGGGCGGTGCTCATCCCCGTCTCCAAGCCATAGAGCTAGCGTTTGTCCGAAGCCAATCTTCCATGTTCACGTGGCCCGTGCGACTCGACATGGAACACTGTTACCTTCCCACTGAGGCGGTCCCTATTTATCTACTGGCATTTTTGCATTTTGCATGCTTTCGAACTGCTAGGTTGTCAGGAGCTGAGACAAGCAACGGGGGCTCACTCCGTCGCGTGGATTTGATCTTACGACTGCCGGTCTTCTGACCTTGCAGCACACGGAGGCTTCTGCAGCTTAACCCGCAGCGCCACCACATCCCTGATGACCTTATAGGCCCCTTCCAACTTCATTATTCTAGGACTCTGTGAAATATTTTGCAAGGCTAATGGCTCTCCATAGCCCAGTGAAGACCATGCCACCTGCAAATGCTTTGAATTATGACAGGGATGTTTGGAACAATATACAGTTCCTAGGAAAAATCTGTCTGCCTCCCAGTTCCCATGAGGATTGCAGTTAAACTCGGAGCAAACCGGGAACTCTGAAAAGGAGGTGGACAGATGCGGCTGCTCTAGTTGTTGCAACTCCGAAAGTCCTTGGAGCTCTGGATACAACACTCCTTGCACCTTGGATTGTATTCGGGCTAGTGATGCCAGGTCTTATAGGTATTGTGTATGTATCTGTACACACTCCAACATGTCTTGATGTCTTTGCTGTGGTGGTGGTTGCTTTGTTTTTCTGTCTGAAAGGCGTCCACCAATTAACATGGCAACCTCTTCAAAAATGCCTGCATGTCCATCATGTCTGTTTCCATTCTGAAGCGTTGATGAGAGTTGAAATCAGAAGAAAAAGGGTCTCTGGCTGGGCAGGGCTAAGCCTGTCATACATTTACGGAACATTTTTCTCTTCTCAAGAGGGAGCGGCTTGAAGCCTAAT